ACTGACCAACGCTGGAGCCAAGCAGACACACCACGGTCCACTGTACCATCCTCTCCATGTCTGTTTTTGACATGTGTTTTTATAACTAGCCAAAACAACTGAAAAAAGTGTCAGTGAGGGGGAGGGAGAGTTGGGAATATTTCTCTATCAAATAATGAACACTCACTATAAAGCCAGATAATTGGTGGAGGACCAGACCAGAGAGCCAGGCATGTATGAGAAAGATGGCACCATGGGCAGGCTGGGCCTGCCTGGCATCCTTAACCTGGGGTGGGAAGGTCTGCGCCCTGTGGGAAAAGGGTCCTCTACTCTTTAGCGTAGGACAGGTCACGCTGTGGAAAACACGAGCCCCCAAACTCAACGGCTCCATACCTCAGAGATTCCCACTCCTGTTATAAGTCTGGCACAGGTGGGTAGGGGGCCCTGCCTGTCACTCAGCGATGCTCCAAGGGTGCTCACCATAGCACTGTTGGAAATTGCAAAAATGAAAAACAAGAACTCCATCATGGGTATTATTAGGGGCAAATTGTGTCCATCTCCCTCCCCCCCCAATTCACATGTTGAAGTTCTAGCCCCTACCCTTTCAGAATGTGACTCTATTTGGAGAGAGGGCCTCTATAAAAAGGGTATTAAGGTTAAATGAGGTCATGTGGGTGGTCCCTAATCCAACAGAACTAGCCCTTATAAGAGGAATTAGAACCAACAGGCACAGAGACACACCATGTGAGGACACAGGGAGGAGATGGCCATCACAAGCCAAGCAGACAGACCGCAGGAGAACAAGCCTGCTAGCACCTTGATCTTGGGCTTCTAGCCTCCAGAACAGGGAGGAATACATTCTGTCGTTTAAGCCCCACAGCCTTTGTAAACTTGCAGGCATCCTTCCACGGGTACTGATGAAGGCCTGCCCCCACTCTGGCATAGCTGCCCTGTTGAGTGTCAGGTTCACCTTCACCATGCTGATGGCCTCACCCCACGGGAGGATTAGCCACTCATCTCTCAGAACTCAGGTGTGGTTTGGCAGCTTCCTTTGGCCACCATCATGGAAAAGGAGTGACAAGTATCACTTGTGGTTCACTGTGGTCTTTCCCCTGCCTCTGTGGTTGTGGAGAAGTGCGTCCAGTGAACTCCTGTTGGCATGGTTCCTCTGCCATGGGCGGAGGCCATACCGGTTGGTCTGTGACAGATGAGTAGTGAGACATGGGAGGTTGTGACTGCAGCACAGTCTGGCTCATCCCAACTGATGGGACTGGACAACAGCTCTATTTACCTCAGTCCGTGCTATACGACCTTTGGGCCATTTCCAGTCTTGCTGTTAATGCGGTGAGTGCCTGCTAGGCACCTGACAGGGCTCAGGCCTTACCCATTTGCTCTTCCCACTGCCTTATGAGGTCAGGCGACACCAAGGACCATGAGCTTGCAAGTGGAGGCAAGTTGTGACCGAACTCAAGTCCATGCTCTGAAGCCCCACACTGAGGAAGAACAGTGGCCATCTGCATGTAAGCAAGCGGTCAGGGTCTGTGTGCTTAGAAATGTTATGGGGGGGTGCCTGGGTGGTTCAGTGGGTTAAAGTCTCTGCCTTCGGCTCGGGTCATGATCCCAGGGTCCTGGGATTGAGCCCCACATCAGGCTCTCTGCTCAGCAGAGAGCCTGCTTCCCCCTCTCTCTCTGCCTGCCTCTCTGCCTACTTGTGATCTCCGTCGGTCAAATAAATAAATAAAATCTTAAAAAAAAAAAAAAGAAAGAAAGAAAGAAAAAAGAAATGTTATGGGGGTGATTTGTAGTCCCACCAATAGCAAAAAAAAGCCTCTTTCTCCATACCTTCAGCAATTCTGGATATTTAGAACTTTGAAAGTTCTGGGATCACAGGCAGAAAAAAAAAAAAAAAATCACCCATATTTCCCTGTAGTACTTCCATGATTTTTTTTAAAAATTGACATCTTTAATCCATCTGGAGTGGAGCCTGGTGCAGAGTGAGGTGGGTATCCAGTTTTACTGTTTTCCAGATGGCTAACCAGTTGTTCCAACTCCTTTTACTAAATAATCCATTTCACCCCCATTAATTTGAAACCATACCTTTAGCATGAACCAAATTCCTTCATTTATTTGGCTTTATTTCAAAGTTCTCTATTCTCCTCTGTTCATCCATCCACACCAATTCCAAGTACATTCATTGTTGCAACTTTATGAAGAGTGTGGTCCCTCAGAGGACTGTATCCATGATACTTCTGGTGTTCAACTTTTCCTCGGAGACATGCACTTTAAAAACTCTTTTATTGTGCCCACTGTGTCCTAGCTTTAGGAAATAAAATCTCCATGTTATTTCCAAGGCCAAGTACGGGACAGGCACAATGATCTGGTAGACAGACCCTAGCACATTGGCCGGACCCTGAGCACAGCCAGCAAACCTTGCCAGACTGTCCTGGTCCCAGAAGCAGCCTCCTCTAGCCTCACACCTATGTGTGAAGAGCCGGGAGTGGTGAATGCCCTGAGGATTCTCCTCCCATCATGCATGGCAGGGCCTCCTCTTCTGGTTCTCTGTGTTCCTTCTCCCCGCTCAGAACGGGAAAGCAGCTAGGTCACTGCATCTACCCAAAGACAGGGCACAGCATCAGCTGCCAATAAAACGTCACCCTGCAACACCATATGCACTGCCTAGCTGCAAGGCCAGGCCAGAGCCCTCCCCTCCTCTCCTGATGCCACCCTCAAGGGCACCCAGGAACTGGCAACCTTGCCTTTGCCGCTAAGGCCCCACCCTCATTTCTTGTCCTTTGTGATGAAAGCCCAACCACAACCAGACCCATTTTCCAAATTAAAATATAGGTCGTCTGACCCCTCCACAGGTCCTCTTGGGCCTGTCTCTGGAGAGGTGGCCCTCAGGAGAGGGATGCCAGACTACAAACCACGCTGGCAGGAGCTGTCTGGGGCCCAAAGGAGATGGCCCTGGGGTCAGAAGGGAAGATGGTGATCTTGGCTTAAAGGGATTCACTTCAGATTCACTACATGTGGATGAAAAAGGTGCCCTATGCAGAGGCCAGCACTAGAGGGGATGTCAACTAAGGCACTGGGCCATCAGCCCAGAGAGTAACCCCAGGTTCTACGGTCAGAGACGTCTTAAAGATATGATATGGCCAAGAATATCAGACCCACTGGCAGGCCAGGGTCTGCCCTGCCATGGGAAACAGTCTGAGCTGGGTCTGGAAAAGGAGGAGGGTCCAGACTTGAGCAATAGCAGTGGCAGGGTAGGCAGCAGTGCGTCTGGGGCCGGGTAACAATGTGCAGCGATTTCCTACACTTGATCAGAATCAAGGCGGCAGTGATTTCTTCTGTTCGATTGCTTGTTTGCTTTTAGGGTTCTATCAGCTTCCCACTTATTTCTAAGACTTGCACCTGTTTTACTTACAGGGCATCAGGGCCATAAAACAGCTCATACATAAAACCATCTGAAGCCAGAGACTTTAAAAGTGACAATTACTAAATAAAATAATCCCAGCAGTGTCTATTTTACTTAAAAATTTTTACCAGATGTTTATTTGCTTCCTAATTTTTCTCTAAAATAACTAGTTTTAGGGGCGCCTGGGTGGCTCAGTGGGTTAAAGCCTCTGCTTTCGGCTCGGGTCATGATCCCAGGGTCCTGGGATTAAGCCCCGCATCGGGCTCTCTGCTCAGCAGGGAGCCTGCTTCCCCAACTCTCTCTCTGCCTGCCTCTCTGCCTACTTGTGATCTCTGTCAAATAAATAAATAAAATCTTTAAAAATAAATAAATAAATAAATAAAAAGAATAACTAGTTTTAGCAGCAGTTCACATTTCTACTTACTTTTTCTTCCTACTTTCCAGGAAAGCATTGTTTCCATAACTGTAAAATTGGAGGGATATGACGTTCTTGTCTAATTATCCCTCTGGGTAGGGGCACTGTACCTATCCTATGTTAAACTTGGCTGAAAGGAGCTTCTGAACTTAGTTCTCATTATTAGAAAATCCATCCTTGTACAGAACAGGTCTTCCGTAATCCCAATCCAAACCTCTGGCCCCTGGGTCTAAAGCCCTGGTTTGCAGCCTGCTGCTGGATTTACTTCCAGCTCTAGGAAGTCAGTTCTCAAAACCACACTCTACCTGCCAAGCCTCCCGCTCCCACCCACCTATTCAGCCTAACTCCTGCCTTCAACCAGACCCTTCAATTCTCAAAGCCCCCACCAGAAACCACACCTCCAACACTGACCTTGAGTGCTCGAGGCTAGGGCCTATCCTGTTCCCAACAGAAAAGGCAACAGTGCTCCTGCTAACAAAATAAGGGCTCTGCCCGCCGGCACCCACCACGCCACAAGTGGAACCATGGATTCAACATACGTTTAATGAGCACCGAACTGTGTATCAGGAACACAAAGCTGACTGAGATGGAGCTCCTGCCCTAGAGGCTCACAGTCTACCCAGAGATCCAAGTCATTTATAGTGTTATGGTTTAAGCGCAGAGTGAGCAATGTGCAAAAGTGGGCAGGGAGACAGGGACCGCTGAAGAGCAGAAAGTGGGAGGGCAACATAGGCAAAGGCACTGAGACAAGAAATTCATGCCAACTTCTGAAGAAAACCAGGTATCACTAGAATGTTGATAAACAAAAGAGGAAAATGAGAATTGAATTGAGACTGGCCAGGAGGCCTGTATCTTACCTTCCTAGCTGGCCAAGGCTGGTGGTAAGCCCAAGGGAAGCATCTTTCTCTGCCATCCAACTCATACTAAATGATCAAAGTGGCTGCTTCCTCCATGCAGCCGTCCTTAAATTCCAGCCCAGAGGACAGAGGTCACAGGGAGCCAAGATGGGGAAGTGGGCCAAAGTAGAGACATCACCCAGGGGCAGATACACAAGGAGCTGACAGGACAGACCTAGTCCAGTCCAGCCAACATTGAACAAAGGGGTCCAGGGCGTGGAATGGCTATAAAGACAGACAAAAATCTGATGAGACTGCTTTTGAAATTGTCCAACCAGTGGAAACGCAGCTGAGAACCTACTGGGAGGCAGATTCTGGGCCACTCGGCAAGTCACGAGGATGATGCGCACAGCAAAGAGCCCACTATTCTGTTATAACAGGAGGTGGGGTGGTGAGGGGGATGAGAAGGCTGTTTGTGCTCAGAGGAGAGGCCAAATGGGTGCACCTCCTACCCAGCAATAAAGCAAGTGGGTAGGGCAAATATCTGGGAAAGCCATCCTGTCCTGTTGGGGGGCTGTGGGCTATGTAGCTATGTAGGCCATTTGGTCACAAGGAGCACTGCTCTACCTGCCTGGGCTGTGTGCAAAACCCAGGGCTGTGGAGTGGGGAGTGGGAGAAACTGCTAAGTCTCCTGGGGCTTTTGAGGTGTCCGCCACCCACTGTGGGGTACCTAAGGATGCCTCCTGGTCTACCTCCGTCTCAGAAATCTCCTCCTCTGTCTTCTGGGGGTTCTGGACGCCCTGGTGGAACTGGATCTGGCTTCTGGGCAGGCAGGTTAGCAGATCCTGAAAGTACAGGAACAGGTGCAGGGGTCATCTCCCCTGGCTGGGACGGGGCTGGCCCCACGGGACCAGGATCAGTGTTGCATGCAGAGCTAGACAAGGTGAGGGACTCCACAGACCCAAGGCTGTTCTCCTTGGCCCACTGCTCTTCAGGGAAAGTATTTCTGCATGCAGAGATGGAACTACAAACAGCAGGGGTGGCCACAGCAATGGGGACAGCTCCCATGTTGAGTACCAGGTCTCTGAGTACCTAGCTAAGCACTGCCTCACCATAGGCAGCTGTGGGGCCATTGTGGGCTGGCTTGAGGCAGCAGGTAGCGGGGCAAGGTGATACAGCATGGTATTCAGTGAAACTGTTCGGGTTTTGAAAAACTGCCTTGAGATCCTGGCAGAAAAGCTCATAAGCATCAGGAAGGAGCAGGTCCCCGTTGATGTAGGGGGCTGCCCATGCCTGGGGTCAGTCCATCAGGTGCCCTAGGATCTCCCAAGACACAGGAGAGGTTGTCCTGATAGTGCTCAAAGCAAAAGGACAGATCCGTCCAGAAGCCATGGGGAGCCATCAAAGGTGCATGGGTGTGAGATTGGCACACAGCAGAAGTCCACCCTGGGGGCCATGGGCCAGGCATGCGCAGAGCCGGGGGCCCCCCTTCTGTGGGTTTACCATCAGGAGCACTAATGGCCGTGCTCTTCTGCTCCGTGGTTGTGCAAGCACACACAGAGGGTCCCCACAGCAGAGCTGCTCAATCCAGGGATCCACTGGGTGGGGGACTGCTGCCCAGGGTGTGCAATGGCATAACTGGTTCCCACCCAGATGGGATTGTGAGGGCCCTGCCAACACACCAGCCAAGGGGCATGCTGGGAACAGAGGGGAGTTTCCACACCAACTATTAAGAAGAAGGAAGAAAGAAGAGATGGTGCAGTGGGGAGAGTGGTCATGACACAATGGGACAGAGATGGGCTGAAAGAAGTGTGGCAAACCCAGGCATCCCAGGTAACTGCTGAGGGTCAGAGGAGCTGACAGCTGTGGCCTCAGGAGTGTTGAGAAGAGCTGATGGGACTGTCAGACGCAGGCCACCATCCAAGGCAATCTGTCCAAAAACAAGGTGGGGAAGAGCGGGAACAAGGCCAAACCAGCTCCACTGTGCAGCAGGAGGAATCCCAGGCAAATCCCAGGAACCCAACTAGGAGCTCTGAGTGGAAGGAGAGCCCAGAAGGCAGGCCTATGAGGTCTGAGAAGATGGGCAAATGCCACCTGTGATGTTTCACGGGCAAGGTGTGACGGCAGATGCTGTCAGTCACAGGAGAAGGAAAGGGGGCCAGATCAGAATCTCCAGGGTTTCCTTGGATGGCCTGGCTGGCTGTCAGGGAGTTTCAGGAAAATGACAGAAGCAACCTTTTACTGAGTGCTCTAACTGTGCCAAACACTAACCACCTGATGAGGCTGGTACTCTTATCATACCAGAGGCAGAGTGGTGAATGAAGTCATTTGTCTGTGGCCACACACCAACCACCACTAAGTGATGGAGGCAGCTGAACCTGACTCTAAAGACCACAGCTTAACCACCACACATCACCATGCTGGTTAGAACTACCCTTCAATCCACCGAGAAGGAGTCCCCTAGTCACCCCAAACACTGTGACTGATATGTAAGTGTCAAAAGATCCTTTAAGATCAAAGCACTAGGAGCTTGAAAGGTGCTACCTTTATCCTCAACAGAGGCCTGGGGGCCAGCTATTCTCTGTGCCCTCCAACCTCCTCATCCGCGCTTTCCAGACTCACCTCACCACACAGACTATAGCCCGTTGGCAAAGACACCCCACCTTGAACATCACCTCCCTGTGTCCCCATTCCTGTCAACAGCCCAGCATCCACACCCCCAAGTTTAATCCCACTTGCTACATCTTCTTTCACCATCCCAAAGTCACTCCTGTAAAGGGCCTGGAGAGCAGTGGTCATCAACCCCAAGCAGCCCAAAGAGCCCCAATGTGGAAAAGGAGGCTGCAACCATCATCTTCCAATGCCAAGAGCCCTCTCCCAGGGCTCTCACGCTGCCCAGCTTATAGTGGCCACCTCTTCAGTCTCTCTGCAAAGGGAGGTCCACTCATAGCCACCACAGAACACATTCTGCAACCCCTGCACACAGACCCTAATGCTCCATCAACTCACATCGGGGCACCACGGCCTGCACACACCTTTGGGCATAGTTGCCCATGTGTTTATCTCTCCTGTCCCCATCAGAGTGAGATCCTCCAGGGAGATACAGCTCTGTTGGGCTTTCTGCTGAGCACCTCCCAGAGCAGCCTTCAGCATTCGAAGCTGCTAGGACCACCAGCACCCACCTTTGCCACCCAAGAATTCTGGAACCTCTCAGGTTCCAGTGGAGGTTCTTCCACCTGAAAACCCTTCCCATCCTAACACAGGAAAAGAATATGCTAGAGCCTGCCAGCAGCAGTGGCCTAAGGGGCAGCACACAAATGCAGTCCACTTGTGAGCCCAGTTCAGTCCCTCATGGAGTTCTGAAAACCAGTGACTGCGAGCCATGCCCCTCTCCTGCCACCAATCTGAGGTTAAGTGCCAGGCTGCATGCAAAAACCACATCCTATGCTCAGGACAGAGTGCACACGACCCAGGTCTCTGCCCTGGATTCCTCCCAGTCCCAAACTCCTACCCCCAATCAGAACCCCAGCTGTTTCCTGCCTGCTCACCAGCATGCCTGTGTGCCCCCTGCAGCCTGAGGGAGAAGATAAGGCTCCCTTGCTCCAACCAGCCAGCCCTGGTTCAGACTTTGGGCCTGAAGCTTCCTTGGCTACCAGTCTGTTGACCTCTACCCCTTCTCTCCCCACCCTAACACTGAAGAATTTGGGCCCTTCTCCTGGACTGCACAGCGCTTTACTCAAGGAACACGTACGGGGACGCAAGCGCATTTGCCTCCCCGCAAAGCCCCAAAGCACCGCGAACGCTAGAGCATTCTCAGCTCCAAGGTGACCAGGGACCCCGGGGATAGAGTAACTTGCGTAAGGCCTCACAGCGAGTGGAGGGCAGACCACTGCACCACCCCTCCCGCAAATGTCATGCAGGAAACAGCCGGGATATGAGTTCACAAGTCCCACTGCAAAAAGAAGCCGACCTACCTGAGACTGCGCGAAGCGTCTGAGAAGAGGGTCTACGGATCTGCGGCTGGAGACTGCGGACCGGTCCCCTCCCGGAGCAAGAGTCCAAGTGCCACCTAAAAAGTGCAGAACAATATCGGCCGCCGTGAGGCGAGGCGGGGCGCGGGAGCGACCTCTGAAGACCGCGGGAACCACCCGAACATGACTCCAGAATCTCCCCAGCCTGCGGCGCGGACCGAGAAACTGAGGCTCGCCGTTCGGAAGCGCAACTGGGACACAGTCCGGGGACTCCGAGCGCTTCTCTGCGGACAAGGGCTTAGGAAGGGATGGAGGGGCGGGGGCCCAGCCGGCCGCTCGGGTTCCCGCCACCCCACTAACCCGCAGGGCCGAAGGTGGCTACACCGGTTCGGACTGGCGCACCGTTCAGAGCCGGAACACGTCGCGCAGCCACGCCCCCTGCGTGCGCGCGGCCGCCCCATACGACCCACGCTCGCTTCCCAGGAGGGCCGCGCCTGCGCCCTGAGCCTTGGGGCGCAGGACTGCGCAGGCGCTCCCAGGCCTTGCCAGCGCGGCAGTGCGGCGCGGGGGTTCATGGGAGCGCGTTCAACCTGGCGGCGCGAAGTCCGCGGAGAGGGTCGGGCCGCTTTCGCGCGCGTGGGGCGGCCAGGGCTGGCGGTGTCCCGGAGGGAGACGTGAAATGCTCTGGGGCTGAGGAACGGATAGCTGGAGGGAGGGGCCGGACACCCACCCGGCTCCCCCAGAGAAGTTTGAGCCGTTGCCACTGCCCTCCGTCAGTTGGGCACTGGGGCGCTACTGAAAGTCAGAAGGGATGCTGGGGACAGAGAGCATCAGGGAGGGTTTGGGCATAGAGGGGCAGCGGCGCTTGCATGTTAAGTGTCTCTCACCACCCAGTGCCTGGTTCTACATAACCTCCGGCCCAGGAGTAAAAGGGCAGGGCAGGGCTGGCAGCGAGGAATCTTCACCGGGATGCCTAGGGGCTGGCAAGCGGGGGCCTGTGGGTTTTCTAGTGGGTGGGTTTGTGCTACCTACCCCGGTCGCGGCTGGACCGAGAGAGGACAATGAGGGCAAGCTGCCAAGGCCAAGTTTGCTGCCCAGGAGTGGCAAGCCCAGTCAGCACCCAGAGACTTTGCAAAAGCGAGTGGAGCGTGAGATTGGGTGCTTCTCGCGTGCACCGCTCCATGTCTCCTCTTCCTGTGCTTAAGGTGAAGAGGTGGGAGAGGGGGCCGGTCCCCGAGCCCAAAGACCAAATGCCCTGTGGGCCAAGGACCTGGATGCCGGCCAGATGTTATTAAAGCCATCAGCGGAGTGGAATTCACTGGAAAAAGATGTTTCTCCAGGCGAGCACACACATAAGAGACCAGCTCCCTCTCTGCCCTGGTCTAGTGACTCCTTTCATGAAACCATCTCTGAAATGTTATCTGCATTTACACCCAAACTCTCTCTCTTTGATCTTTGAAACGCGAATCAAAGATCACATTGTACTTTTACTTGGGTGTGTGGGGCTTTCAGCCGCGTTGGCCAAAAATAATAAAAGTGGCACCCAGCCAGGAAACGCCTCCTTGAAGTGTGAATGAAACTTGTATTTTTCGGTTGTATCTTTCCTAATTGACCTGATAATTTAAACTTCCTGCCTCAAAGGAGAGGGGGAGTTCCCTACAATTTGGCTTACCTCAGGCACTAGGCAGCTCAGGCCAACTCAAGGCAGGTCAGCAGAGAGCAGGCAGCAGGCTCCTGTAAAAAAAACTAATCCAACCCAGCCAAGCTATCAGAAATCACTTTTTTTTTTTTTTTTTAGATTTTATTTGTTTATTTGACAGAGAGAAACACAGCAAGAGAGGAAACAAGCAAGGGGAGTGGGAGAGGGAGAAGCAGGCTTTCCCGCCAAGTAGGGAGCCCAATTCGGGGCTCCATCCCAGGACCCTGGGATCATGACCTGAGCTGAAGGCAGACGCTTAACAACTGAGCCACCAGGTGCCCCAGAAATCACTGTTTTTTATTCAGATTGCTTTCATTCAGGCCAGCTTCTATGTATAAATATTTTTTTAATTGCAGTAAAATATACATAACAAAATTTATCTTTTTTCTTTTTTTTTCAAAATTTACCTTTAAAAAAAAAGATTTATTTATTTGAGAGCAAGAGAGTGAATGAGAGAGAAAAAGCATGAGAGGGGGATGGGTCAGAGGGAGAGGCAGACTCCCTGGTGAGCAAGGAGCCCAAAGCCAGACTTGATCCTGGGACTTTAGGATCATGACCTGAGCCAAAGGCAGTTGCCCAACCAACTGAGCCATCCAGGTGCCCCAAAATTTACCCTTTTAAAACCATTTCTAGGTGTACAATTCAGTGGCATTAAGCATATTCACACTGTTGGGCAACCTTCACCACCACCCATCTCCAGAACTTCTTCATCACCTCAGACAGAAACTGTACCCATTCTAATTCCTGGCCGCTACCTCTGTCCCAGCCTCTGGTAACCTCTATTCCATTTTGTTTGTTAATTTACTTATTCTAGGTACCTCATATCTAAGTGGAACCATACATTATTTGTCCTTTCACTAACAATAATGTTAAAGAGGTTTGCAGTGTAGCACCTATCAGAATTTTTTTTCCTTTATAAGGCTGAATAATATTCAATAATATGCACGTACCACATTTTGTTTATCCATTCAGCTGTTGATGGCCACTTGCTTTGCTTCCATCTTTAGGCTATTGTGACTAATACTGCTATTAACACGGGTGTACAATTATTTATGTGAGTCCTGTTTTCAGTTTTTTTAGGCATATACCTAGTAGTGGAATGGCCGAATCACATGGTAATCCTATGTTTAACCTTTTGAGAAACCGCCGGACTTTTCCATAGCAGTTGCATCATCTAATATTCCCACCAGCAATGCACAAGAGTTCCAATTTCTCCACATCCCCACGCTTACTCTTTTCTGGGTTGGTTGGTTTGTTTGTGGTGTTTTTTTGTTTTTTTTTTTCTTTTTTTCTTTTTTGATAATAGCCATCCTAGTGCGTGTGAAGAGGTATTGTATGCTTTTAATTTTTAGCGATGAGAGAAATTCAACATCTTTTCATGTATTTATTGGCCATTTGTATATCTTCTTTGGAGAAGTTTCTGTTCAAGTCCTTTGGCCATTTTTTAATTGGACTTTTGTGGTTGTTGCGTTGTAAGTGTTCTTTGTAGATTTTAAATGTTAATCCCTCATCAAATATAAAATTTGTGAATATTCTCTCTCATTCTGTGGTTTATCTTTTCAGTCTCTTGATGGTTTCCTTTGAGGTACACAACTTTTAAATTTTGATAAAGTCAAATTAACCTTTGTTTTCTTTTGTTATTTTGGTGTCATATCCAAATCATTGCCAAATCCAATGTTGTGGAAATTTTCCCCTGTTTTTTTTCTAAGAGTTTTATAGTTCTACCCTTATGTTCAGGTCTTTGATCCATTTGAGTTGTTTTTTATATAACTTGGTTTTTTGGGTTGTTTTTGTTTTTGTTTTTGCTTTGCATGTGGTTATCTAGTTTTCCCAGTATCACTTGTTGAAAAGACTGTCCTTTTCCCATCAAATAGTCTTGGAACCCTTGTCAAAAATCAACTGACAATATAAACTTTGGTTTATTTCTGAGATTTCTATTTTATTCCATTGATGTCTATGGCTGTCACTAAGTCATACAGTCTTGATTATTGTAGCTTCATAATAAGTTTTGAAATCAAGGGCGCCTGGGTGGCTCAGTGGGTTAAAGCCTCTGCCTTCTGCTTGGGTCATGATCTCAGGGTCCTGGGATCGAGCCTTGCATCGGGCTCTCTGCTCAGCAGGAAGCCTGCTTCCTCCCTCTCTCTCTCTCTGCCTGCCTCTCTGCCTACTTGTGATTGCTGTCTGTCAAATAAATAAATAAATAAAGTATTAAAAAATGTTTTGAAATCAGGAAGTTTGAGTCTAATTTCACTCCTTTTTTCCAAGATTATTTTGGTTATTGGGGGTCCTTGAGACTCCATATGAATTTTAGGATGGGTTTCTCTACTTCTGCAAAAAAAAAAGAAAAAGAAATACTGCTGGGATTTTGATAGGGATTCCCTTTATTCTGTATATCACTTGATATGGTATGGATATTTCAATAATATTAAGTCTTCCAGTCCATGAGTATGGGATGTCTTTCCATTTAAGTCTTCTATAATTTCTTTCAGTGATGTTTTGTAGTTTTTAGTGTGCAAGTCTTTTGCTCTTTGGTTAAATTTATTCCCATATTTCTTATTCTGTTTGATGTTATTATAAGTAGGATTATTTTCTTAATTTCCTTTTCAGATTGCTCATGGTTGTTGTATAGAAATGCAACTTTTTTTGCGTGTGTATCCTACAACTTTGTAGAATGTATTTATTAGCTCTAGCAGTGTTTTTGTGGAATCTTTTTAGAGTTTTCTACATAGAATTTCATGTCACTTGTGAACAGAGATAATTTTACTTCTTCCTTTATAATTTGAATTTATTTATTTCTCTTTCTTGTCTTATTGTTCTGGCTAGGACTTCTAGCACTAAGTTGAATAGAAGTGGTAAGAGCAGACATCCTTGCCTTGTTCCTGATCTTAGAGGCAAAGTTTTGAGTTTTCACCATTGACCTTCATCAGGGGCCTTTCCCAGAGCCCATTGGTGGATGCCTGAGCCCAGAACCAGGAATACCAGGGTCTCTCTGTTCAGCCAGCACGTTTCTCATTCTACCAAAATTTTCCCTAAAAAATATAGAGCTGAATCTTTTGGTGCCTTTCTCAAAGGTCCCACTTTGCAGAAAGAGTCTATTTTCTCTTCTTCTTGTAGGGCTGTGCCCTAAGTGATTAGCATAGATGCCTCAGAGACCCTTCTAATTTAGCCAGGTGGCTGGGCACCTGAGCCTGGCACCCCTGGGGTTCCTTGTGCTTCAGCTTTGTTATGGACTGAATGTTTGTATCCCCCTAAAATTCATACGTTGAAATCCTAACCCCTAATGTGATCGTATTAGGAGGTGTGGCTCTTGGAGCTCTCATGAATGAAATCAGTGCCCTTATAAAGGAGACCTCACACAGCTCCCTCATTCCTTCTGCCACATGAAGACCCAGGGAGAAGTTGGCTGTCTATAAACCAGAAAGTAGGTTTTTACCAGACATCAGATCTGCTGGTGCCTTGATCTTGGACTTCCCAGCATCCAGAACTGAGATGAGTAAATTTT